AAGAAAGAAAGAAAGAAAGAAAGAAAGAAAGAAAGAAAGAAAGAAAGAAAGAAAGAAAGAAAGAAAGAAAGAAAGAAAGAAAGTTAAATAAAATAATTCTTAAAAAAAAAAATTAAAAGAAAGAAACTCCCGATATTGAGTGCGTCTTCTTGAAGTCCCAGTCTATACCAGACACCAAACCCAAGCTATCTAGCAAAGGAATACATTTAGGACAGTTCTTCGAGGCCAAGGTTTGCACCCATGGAGTTGCCTCACACTTGTTACTGCGTCCTATAGCCCATAAGAATGCCCCTAAACACTAAGACCAAAGTTTTAGAGGCTACTAGTTCCCAGGGCTGGAGGCAAGTACCGAGGCAGTTAGACCTCCTCACGTCTCGGAAGGTACTGGATAGATACCTGCCACGCTTCTGCCACCCTCACCCAAGGACTCTGATTTCTGTGACTCTCCCAGACCAAAGGAAAGAATTCATGTTGTGACCAAGATGAATGCAGAGGTGACACAGGCTCTGAATGGAGTCAACACAGTCCTGTGTCAGGCCCAGGGGGTACAAGAAACTAATTCTCACTCCACTCCACAGAAACAGGGCTCAGCAGGCTGGGGTGGTCGACAAGGCAGGTGTAGACATCTCCAAGTTTAGGAGTCATTTCCAGCATCGCCGTGGTCTGAAAGGTCCAGTCTCCATTACTGACGAGGTCAGTGGAGATGACGCCATCCCTCTCCTCCTGCCCATTTCGGAACCACCTGATCTTGATGTTCCCTGGGTAGAAGCCCGTCGCCAAGCAGAGCAGCAGGTTGTGCTGCTGCAGGACTGGAGGCCTCTCTGGATACACTGTCACCTCTGGTGGCACTAGGGACAGAAAGATGAGACATTGAGAAGGAAACCACCACGCCAGGACACAAGCTTCTTTAGGGGTGTCACAATCCCTAATTTTTTTTTTTTTTTGAGAGAGAGAGGTTTTTGCTATAGGGCAGGTGCGCTCGCCAGACAGACAGAGAGAGACAGAGAGACAGAAAGCGAGAAATCATCCCCCAGGGGG